CTAATGACTATGGCGCCTGGTGCTGTTGACCACTACTGCCACCCTCACTTGCTGCTCTCATCCGTGGCCAGGTCGCACAATAACGCAGTAGCACTTCTGCAACAGCGCGGATGCTTGAAGGTGTTGTTGAGACATGCTGCAACTTGTCTTTCTATACTTGCTGCAGGTCGAAAAGGAGACTCGCGACGTAGGTTCCTTTCCTTGGCTGCTGTGAGCCTCAACGATTCCGAGACTTGTGACACTGATCCCTTTCCTTGGCCGCGGCCAGCATCAACGATTTGGACCGTCATAGAGGCCTTTCCTTGGCCGGGGCGAGCCGAAACTGTCTTTAGAGCCCACTGTTTCCTTGGCCGCGGCAAGCCACAATGATTCGGAGACTTCTTGTGACATCGGTCCCTTTCCTTGGCTGCAGCGAGAGCCTCAACGATTCTGCCTGTCGTAGAGCTTTCCTTGGACTGAGCGGCGATAGACTGGGGACCGCCACTTGACTGATACCTAACGGCTGACCCCTCCTGACTTCTACAGACTTCCATCTACTGGTACCTGTACGACCCACAGCACAGTACCACCTGGTAGTTTCTGTACCTGTATGGTACCTACCTGGAAGTTTCTGTACCTGTATGGTACCTACCGGGTAGTTTCTGTACCTGTACGGTATCTACCTGGAAGTTTCTGTACCTGTATGGTATCTACCTGGAAGTTTCTGTACCTGTACCTGAAAGTTTCTGTACCTACCTGGAAGCTTCCGTATGGCCTACTGTATAAGGTACCTACCTGGAAGTTTCTGTACGGCCTACTATACAGTACCTACCTGGAGGTTTCTGTACGGCCTTCTGTACGGTATCTGGAAGTTTCTACAAGGGGGCCTATTGTACTGTTCCTGCCATTGGCCCAGATATGACCATTAGAAGAGCAGCGGGGTACCCAACCTCGAAGACCGAAAACACAAGCAACATGCAAGGCTACCGGTGGGGTCACTCAAGTACTCCAGTCTGTATTGTCCATTGATGCTCCTTCTCTCTGCCATGCAAATAGGCCACTCCAAGACTGCCACCAAGTTGTTGCCTGGCAACACCGATCACTCACAACAAGTACCACCAAATTTCCACCTCGCTGACTGACCATTTCTCCCCCGGTGATGCTTCATCCCAGTGCCAACCCTGCTCCTTCCACCGACACCCGGTCAACTCTTCCTCCCTCCATCCCAAGTGTAGCACTGTCACATCAGGGGAGAAGACAACGAGAGTTCGCTTTGATACCAGATTGCAATGAACCCAGACTTCAAACCGACATCTCGTGCAACAACGAGTCACGCTTCAGCACATGAGAAATGGAAACCAAACACGCGATATAAGAATCGCAAACTGTTCGAGAATCAAATGTCTTGCATGACAAGTTTGTGTACATCAAGGTTTGGCAGCTATGGCCACCAGCAAACAACCACCAAAGATGAACTCTCTCTCTCTCTCTCTCTCTATCTCTCTCTCTCGCTCCACTCGCAGTCCTTGCTCTCTCTCTACATATTCTCTCTCCTTGGCTATGCAATGTTCTTGAAGCGGGCTGTAACACTAAACAGGGCATTTTCGTAATTTTTGAAGTTCTGGGTCCTAAACTGGCAGGGAAATTTCTGTACATCCCCTAAACTACTGTTAAAGAGGATACTACTGGCCATGGTTGCATCCCTGCAGACCGCCGACCGTATTGCAGCCGAGCAGTAGGGCCAACCGGTCGGCGGTCTGCCGACCAGTCAGAAAACAGCCATCCACTAATTTTTTTTCAGATCTGAGTTGGAAGCTGTACTGCGCTTGCTGAGTACAGCCCAAATCCGCTAAGAAACTTTTGGGGATGGGGTTGGGGGTGGGGTGCATAGGGGGATGTAGGGGGGTATAGGGGTGGTATAGGGGGTATTGGGGGGGGTTACGAGGGTGTTGGGGGCCGTTTTGTGGGTGTTGGGGGGGTGTATGGGGGTATTTGGGGTAGGCATGGGGGTGTTCGTGGGGTTATTAGGGGTTCTGGACCCTTTTTTTTGTGGGGTGCCGACGACCTTAGGCTGGTAGGTGCCGACCAGCCGACCGGTCGGCGGGTCGGCAGCCGACCTGTCAAGGGTCGCCGACGGTCGGCGTGTGCAACACTGGGTGAGGGATCTTTTGGTCTGTTGACTAGTTGGGTGCATCGCTGCTTGGAAACTGCGTTGACGCCGCCATGCCGCCTGAGCAGCGCCATAGCTGGGAGGCTGCTGCTAGGCTAGGGTTCTTCTGCTGAAGCATGCGCTTCAGGCGCTGAGCCTGGCGCCATAATATCTGTGCGGTTGGGGTTAGGCGCTGCCGCATCTTCTTCTACGGGGCAGCTGTACCTGTTCTTCTTCAAGCTGGAGCTTTCTTCTTCATCCTGGAGCTATCGCTGTTCATCCTGGAGGGTCACTGACTCAGCGCTGCGCCAACTGAGTAGTTTTCTGAGAGGCACTGCGGTTGTGGTGGTCTGCAGGTTGGGCGGCGAGCACTGCACCTGCATGTTGGGCGCCATAGCCAGGAAGGTGATGGTCGAAGTTGAGTCGAGGAGGAAGACTCCTGACGCTTGCTGAAGCTTGTTTTAACTTTTAAGTTTGTCCAAGGTTGTTTACGGCCGGTTGGAATTCTTGGTGTATTTGTGGAGTTGGGTTGAATAGGAGAGAGAAGGGGGGTATTGTTGTGAATTGAGATTCTAATTCAGTCCTAGTTTGAATTTCAAGCTTTCGGTGTGGATATTTTTTAGTTGTGTTTGGTGTGAATTCGCTCTCCGAGTCCGCCTTGTCATCTCGCAAGTGTGTGGGAACATGTTGGTGCTTTGTCGAATGGCGTTTCAATCAGCCACATAACACCTATGCTACGCTACTGCTATGGTGTCCATTGCCCATTTACCACAACTACACGTAGCACCTATGCGGTGCAACAGCTATGGCTGCCATCCTGCCCGTTGACCCCGACTATGCTCAGCCTCACTAGCTGCCTCACTTGTCACTTGGTCGCACAATACACAGCAGAGCTTCCACAGCACGTATGTAATTGCGTTGACGGCTATCGCCTTGGTGCTTTTGCACAATGATTCAGCTTCCCTGCCCTTCGATTCTTCCCTCCAGTACCCGGGTACCCGGTGGCCTGCTGGCCTTGGATTCTCGGCCGTTGGCACTTATCCAACATTCACCGACTTTCCTGGGACACTGGGCTGCTGACTTGCCTGCAACTGGAATGGACTGGATTGGGCCTCCTCTTAACCTACCGGACCGTACTGGAGTGGATCTCATACTCAACTAATTATGTTTGTTTGTTTGTTTTTTTTTTTTTTTTTTTTTTTTTTTTTTTTTTTT